GAGAGAGAGAGAGAGAGAGAGAGAGAGAGAGAGAGAGAGAGAGGGAGCAGTGTTGTTCCTGGCTATGGTAGCTGCATCTCTCATTGGAAATTCCCAACAGGAAAGACCCTTTAGTCCTAGCGGCACATCAGGAGCAGAGTGCACCAGACAATCTGACATCACATACACCTCTACTCTTATTTATATATGCAGAGACACGTGTATATGCATAAGAGGGTCACCTTTATGATACTTGTCTAGGACATTAGTATAGCATCTATATGGAATCAAAGTAACTCAGATTTGCTATAGTAAAGAGTAAATTTTAGTAAAAATTATATTTCATAGTAGAGTAAATATGGGAATCGAGGATTTTCAAAAAGAAAAACAGAGAGATTAATGATCTCATATAGGTCCCACATGGTCCGTATTTTTTCCATACAACAGAAGACTCCCCACATACTGAAATCAAAGGAAGGACTTCCACTGACTGATTCCAATGACTTGTATCAAGTTCCCAATGCCCTCCCATTTTTATTCCCTCTCTAAATGCTTATTTAGGTTGTTTTAACAAATAAGAAGCAGGTAAATAATTTTTTTAAAATCATACTTTTTTGCGGGAGCTGTTTTTTGTAAATTCCACATTTTTAACGTATGGTCCTCAGATGCTGTTATTAAAACTGGTTCAACTGGATGGAAAGCCAGGCCTCGTATCCCATCAAAATGGCTTCTCAATGTGAACTTGGGGTTCCAAGTCTTCCTCAACGCATCCTTATTATTTGCTATCTATTGGCAAGAAAAAACCCAAACTTTTCATTAATTTGGGAAAGCAACAACAAACGAGAAGTCAAAACTTTAACCTGTTGTTTATAGAATACAACTTAATACAGCAAGTGCTTTAACAGTTCTTTATTTACCATAAATGCAGCAACCCTAACATAATTATGTAGCTAGTATTAAAAAGGTAAATTTATAGGATATCCTTCTACCTCATCTTTTTATTTAAAAAGGGCAGCTGTACTTTATAAGCAGAACTAAATATGTTGTTAAACAACAAGAACAGGTAACTTTCAACAAAGAAAAGTAAGAGCCTCCTATAAAAAGCAATCATTCCATAATATCATGCCCCTGCACCTATGCAAAGTTTTCTGTGAGGTCACATGTATACCAGTAATTTAAAGGTCTTCAAGGGAAGTAACCTGGGCTAGGATGGTTTAGATAGAAGTGATCCTGCTTTGAGCAGGGGTTAACCTTAGGTGGTCATATGGTCCCCCCCCTTCTAGCCCTATTTTTCTATGACTATTAAGCATTTTGTTAACAAAGTCATATGGTACTAATGCCCAAATAAAATACAAATTAAACTGGGAAGAAAGATGCTTCTTTCAAATTTCAGTGGCATGCATTTGTACATTTCAGCAAACTCTGGATCATGTAGGTGGCCGGTTTCCTTATTCTAGTGGAGGATTAAGTTCCCCTAGATTGAAATGTCCATTTGTCACAAATTCATTGAGATCTTGAGAGGGGGGAAGGGGGTGGAAGAGGAGAAAAGAGAAGGAGAGAGGAGAGGTGAAAAGGGAGAAGATGACACACCAACAAAGAAATGGAAATAGCTCTACAGTGTTTTCTTCCCAGAAGGAACTGGTTTTCACAGCTCAGTGAACAATACCAAGGACCTGAAGTTAGGTGCTATAAGACCTACTTGCCTCCTGCACCTCTACAGGAGTTGGGCTCAGTTAAGTCTCGATTTCTCAATCAAAAGAATGTTTATGGCAGCTACATAGGGTAACTTTTATAAAATTCTCTGAAACACACAGAATAAAAGGTGAAAGAAAAGAAAATATAGGCGCAACGTGAGAAGGACAACAAATACCTTGGAGAAGCACCTCATAGCAAACAAATGGTCTATTGTTTGCGTTAATTTCTATTTTTTTAAATTAATACATCAATATTTTTAAATTTCTTCTTAGTTTTTTCCAAAAATAACTGACCAGAACAAAAGAAAAGATAATGAAAATATAAAAGCACCTTAAAGGACTAAGTGCCTCTGCTCTAAGAAGAAAAAAAAAAGGGCGAGAACAGAGTAGTAGCTTCACCTAAGAGCTAGCAACTGCCACCTCAAATGAAATATGATTGCATTATCAGTTCACTCCACTTGGCCCATATTGGGCACCTCTATACCTGCACTTTAATGCGCATTAGCCTATTCTAACATGCACTGGACTGTCACAAAAAAACCTGTGCTCTTTAGCTAACGCACATTAAAATAGGCTAGCGTGCCCTTTTCTAGAACAGTACCTCACAATGGAGAGCATTTTTTAATTAGAGCGGCTCTCGGAATGCAAGTGCCCAGAGCACCGCATGTCCAACGAGCTTTAGATAAAAGTGCTCTCGCCGCCATTTTGAAGCGCAGGGACACTGATACACAAGACACAGAGGCTGGCTGGGGCGTGGTACTTACCATGCTCCAGCAGACTCAATTCATAGTCTGCTCTGGTGCGCTGTAGTGACAGCACATCAGAGCAGTCTCCGAGCTTGCATACAGGAGCCCAGAGATACTAAAGAGTTCCCTGCTAAGCCAAGCTGGTCTTCTGCCATACTTGCTATTCTTCTTGTGCATCTGGATGGTTTGTTCCTGAACTCTCAGTAAGTCTTCTTTAAAGTACAGCCAGCTCTCCTGGACTCCTCTCCCCGTCAGACTGGCTTCCCAGGGGATCCTGCCCATGAGCTCCCCGAGTGAGTCAGGCTGCTTTTCTGAAGTCCAGGGTCCTTGCTCTGATGCTCTCCATCCATCCTTCCCTCAGGATCCTGAACTCTTTCTTTTGTGGTCATCACTCCCCAAGTTGCCGTCCACTTCTACATTCCCCACCAATTCTTCCCTGTTTGTGTGCAGTAGGTCAAGAAGAGCACAACGCTGGTTGGCTGCTCCTGCATCAGGAAGGTGTCCCCAACACTCTCTGAAAACTTCCTGGATTGCCTGTGCACCGCTGTATTGCCCTCCCAGCAGATGTCCAGGTAATTGAAGTCCTTCGTGAGAACCAGGACCTATGACTAGGACACTTCTGCTGGCTGTTTGAAGAAACTTCATCCACCACATCCTCCGTGTCTGGTGGGCTATAGCAAACCCCCACCATGACATCACCCTTGTTGCTCTCCCCTCTGACCCTAACCCAGAGACACTCAGCAGGCCTATCTGCAGCTTCATATGGGAGCTCCGGCAATCATATGGCTCTTTTACATAAAGTGCAACTCCTCCTCCTCTTCTTCTCTGCCTCTCCTTCCTGAACAGTTTGTACCCATCCATGACAGTGCTCCAGTCATGTCAGTTCCCACCAAGTCTCTGTCATTCCAATCACATCATAGCTCTGAGGTTGTTCAAGGACTTCTGGTTTTTCCTCATTGTTTCCCAGGATCCATGCAGGCACCTGAGGTAATTAGTTCGTTGCCCTGATTTCTCAGGAAGTACGAGCACACCTCCCTGCTGTTTCCCCCTCCTGCTTGCTCTTCTTCCAAGTCTCCCACTTCCCCGAGGGCTTTGGTCTCCACCACCTGACAAACCTAGTTTAAAGCCCTTCTCACTAGCTTAGCAAGTCTGTCTGTGAAGATGCTCTTCTCTCTTTGTCCAGTGGATCCCATCTCTTCCCAGCAATCCTTCTTGGAAAAACGTCCCATGGTTGAAGAAGCCAAATTCCTGCTGGCAACACTACCTGTGCAGCCAGGTGTTGATCTGAGGATCCACCTGGTCCTTTCAGGATCCTTTCCCTTAACTGGAAGAATCAACAAGAACAGCCTGAGCCCCAGACCCCTTCACCTTTGCACCCAGAGCCCCGTAGTCACTTTTGATATGCTCAGGGTCTCCCCTGGCAGTATCATTGGTGCCCACATGGATAAGCAGCACGGGGTAGTAGTCAAACAGCCAAATGAGTCCCAGTAATCCCTCCATGACATCTCAGATCCAGCCTCCGAGCTGGCAGCAGACCTCCCAAGATGACAGGTCATGTCGGCATATGGCTCCCTCTGTCTCCTGCAAAAGGGAGTCTTCAACTACCACCATCCATCGCTGCTTCTTGGTGGCAGTCATCTTGATCCTTCCCACCTTGGTGAGGCCTGGCTTGTCTTCCTCCACCAATGGAACATGCTTCTCCCTCTCTGCTACTAACACTGCATATCTGTTCTCCAGACAGACTACCGAAGGTGGAGGTGAAGATGCTTCCACCCTCTTGGGCGTCCATGTCTTCTCTCTTCTCAAGTGCTGCGTCTGGCATTTCTTCTTCCAGTCCTGGAGATCATGGATGTACGGGAACAGGGAAAGAGCCTGATCTCCAGCTGATTCACTCTCCCTTTCCTGCATAACTAAGCAGAACCCCTAGCTGATGCTGAAGACAGGTCTCCATGGGTAGATCTTTTTAAAATTACAGAGTCTGTGCTAAACAGCTACAGAGGTTGTAAAAGAGAGAGACCAGGAGCAGCTAGCAGACAGCAAAAATTTCCCAGGAAAGATTAGGTTGATTAGTGGAACATTAAGTTCATTCAAAAGGAGAGACTACTGTTAACATCTGTAGAGTGAAGAATAATAATAGAGGTATTAAATCAATTGATTCCCTCAGCTACCTGAACAGTAATACCACTGCTGCTGCAATGAAAAGCAGGAATCAAGCCTTTGGGCTTCCAAACCTGGGCAGAAAATCACCTTCCCCACTTAATACATGTACCCCAATTTCAAGGGACTGATTTTGGGGAAAAAGATGTGTTGTATGTGAGAACATAAAGTATGCAGTGCAGGCCTTCACAGCAGATCATATTTATTTTTTCCTCATCTAGTATTGCACGTGGCATTTTTAATGGCCTCTTTGGCCAATCTACCTCAATCTCCAATGAGGCACCTGGACATCCCAGAACCTCTAAAGTAAAAACAGTTACTTTAGTTCCAGTAAAATACGCCAGTTCCCCTTTTCCCCCCCCTCTTTAAATTACCTGAATGGATTTTTGGATTTCACAAGGGGATATAGAATACTGGGACTGAAGGACTTGGTCAGTGTTTCCAAAATCCGTATTTGACCTAGACGTGTCATCCAGTCAGGATATCTAAATGAATCTACCATCACATTGCCACTTTGCAAATCCCACCAATGATTGCCACTGCTCAAGTGAAACAGTCATCTGCTACCTTAAATCTGATTTAATTCCTAGGTCTAAAGTTAAAAGACTGACCCACTCAGACAACCTGTAACAGTGATTCCCAAACAGCAGTCTGTGGGTCATGATGCTCACTTACTTTGAGTTTTCAATTAGAAGTTTGATCAGGATACATGGCAATCTACAAGGAATTTTGAGCCTGACAGTGGTCCATTGGTTGAAAAAGTTTGGGACTCAATGGTCTATTAAAAATTCTGGAAAAATCCTGCTGTTATAAGCACCTGATTCATATCCAGGTTCAGAAGCAATGCTACAAAGTGTGAATAAACAAGTAACTCAGCTGGGAGACAGGCTAGTCTACAGTTAAGAAAAGGTTCATACATCTTGTTGACTAAGCCTCCAATGAGTTTGAAAGGCAAACTTTATGGAGAAAATGTGAACAAGGATGAATGTTAAAGGGGCCAGCAATAAGAGGATTATCCTCAAAAATAAAAACCCAAAGAACTGATATGAAAGTGCAAGATCACCAAATAAGTAGTTCCAGAGAGATGGTTAAAAGTAAACAGCTAAAACACAACTTTTCCAGAAAACAGAGATTTTAAAGAAATGTGAAAAAACTGCCCCATGACTGAAGATCAGCCATTTAAGGTGACATCTGTGCTGCCCCTGTATGCTCCAAATGGAACTGAGGTAGTCAGGATGCTCTGTAGGTGTCCTCCCTACCACTAGCTCTTGCAGTCTCTTCCTTTGATGTGCTTGAGTACAGCAGGGTGGGGATTATTAATGCATGCAAGTCCATTCTTCCCTGTATCATTAAAGCTCTATTAATTTTGGCTGGTGCTGGGTTATATGTGCAAAATGACAACATTACCTCTAAAGGTTTTGGCTTTCTATTTCTAAGGTCTACCACAGAAGTCAGCAACATTTTTGACTGGAGTCCCCAAAACACCCCAACACTGACCCACACCTTGACTTGGCATGCCAGAAGCAGACCACAGAGGAGTTAAGAGGCACCTGATCCTCGCTGCTGGCAGATGCTGCACACATGCCTCCAGGTGGATGGTGGGGGAGGGGCTGGGGATGCACTGCCCCATCCCCTTCCCTGCCCTGCATCCCAAGGCAAGTGTGCAGTTGCCACCAGCACGGTGCTTGTGGCAGTGCTCCAGAGCCCAGTGCAGCTGTTTTTAGGCTTTCTGCTGCCATTGCAGCAGCCCATAGCCTAGGGCTGGCTTTGGCAGACTGCTGGGAGGCTGCATCGGGCTCTGGATCCCCAGCCAGGCTCCATATTAGTGACAACTGCATGTGTGCCTTGGGGTGCAGGACAGGGAAGGGGTTCGCCCCTCCCTCACCATTCATCTGAAGATGTGTGTGTAGCCACTGTCATGATGTCTGGCCATGGGCTCCAGGCAGCTGCAGCAGGCAGTCAGGAGACTACAAACAGCTGCACTAGGCTCCGGAGCACTGGCACCAGCCGAAGCACACGTGCCTTCAGGAGGATTGTGGGGGAGGGGCCAGGGTTGCATTGCCCTAGCCCTCTTCCCCGCCATCTGCCCAGAGGTACACATGCAGCTGTATGCAGCCTCCTGACTACAGCCAGCCTGGGTTTTGGGCAGCAGGGCTTGCAGCCTCCCTACCACCTGCTGCAAGCAGCTCAAGCTCCACAGCCAGCGCCAGCTGCCCAGAGACCAGGCCAGCTGTGGCATGTGGAGAAAATGGCCTTGCGTGCCATGCGAGCTGCAGGTTGTGGACCCCTGGTCTACCTCAAGACATGCACACCACAAGGGAGGGGAAGCTGTGGAGGCAGTTACTAAATGCAAAAGGAACAAAACACTTAGGAGGTCAAGCTGCCGCCAACCTTTTTAAGGATAAAAGAGGACAGGAACCTTTATTAAAAAGGATTATGTTACATTTTGCAAAGCCAATTTTATCCCCCTAATGTTATGTGTTGTTCCTTTGTTTTAATGTTTTTCCTGCAGTCTGCATATATGCAAATTTCACTGACTTCAGCGAGAGTGTCATACATGTACATGTAGAGTTGTTAGAACCCAAGATCAAATACTGTGAAGTACAGTTTACAAGATACTCACATCATACGTTAGTGAATCTGCCTCATTGGCAACCGTAAGACCTGCCAGTTCTCCAAGACCCAGCTCACTCTCAAGTGCTTCATCGGCTCCCATAATGAATGATTTCCCTGAAGTAGGAGGGAACGTTAAAGCTTCCACTACAAGAAAAAGAAAAGAAAAAACAAAACAAAACTCATGGGTTTTTGCAGACAACAGTTTTTGTAAAAAAATACAAAATTACATTCTGCTCTGTAAAATAATACCTCAATTAATAACCAGAGACAAAGGCAATATAGGTGCAGAAAAACACAAACAAATTCTAACAGTAATCACAATTCCAAATCTACTAGTAAGCAGACTTTTTTTTAAACACATCACTTTTAAATCTATACCCCGGAAGTCTATGTTCCTCAAGACTTTTAAAAGCAAGTCATGACAACAAAAGAGAAGACTGCCCATGTACATATTTCAGGAATTTAAAATGCCTGAAGTAGTAGGAGGCCAATATTTCTGGCAGGCATGCCATAAATTAAGCTTATGTCCTCTTAAGGGACATTCCATTCCCCGTTCTCTGTCCCATGTACTGCTCTGCTTTTTGCTCCCTGCCCTGTACTCCCTTGCCTGATTTGCTGCTTTGTTTTCTGCCTCCGTGCTCTCAAGTAGGGAGTTCCCCATTGT